AGATTTGAGCCAAGGTGTGTGTGTCCAGAAACAATAGAAGGCAGATAGCTCACTGTAGCCCTCAACTGTTGATCATTATATTTCGGGTCAATATTTAATCGGAAATGGGCTTCAGATGTTTCCACAAACTTTGTGCTTGCTGTTTTCTTGAGCAATGATATGGCTGTTACTAGGTCATACTCTTTTTTGAATTCCCTCAACTTTTGAATCTCCAAGAATCTCTTAGACCTTGTCTGTCAAAAAGCATAAACAAATATGACCGTGTAAAAAAGAGTACAATGATATCCCATTTGAGTTGAGAGGAACTCAAAATTGGTCCATAACCTAAATTGAGAATTTGAGAATACTATAGAAGTGAATGAGTAACTCAAGAAAAGATAAATGATCGGCTAATTGGAAATTCAAGTTGGTGTCTATCCATTCCTCAACCAAACTAGATTTGCATTCCTACTTATTCTGGAATTCTAGACGGAATTCAAATCTGGCATGAAATTATTTTCACAGTGGAGGAAATTCATTTCCTATAACAAATTCATCCTAAAAAAATACCCCCAATTTCCAGGTGAAAATGAAGTCCATAAATTTCTCACACAGCGCAACTTGCTGAGCATATTGCTACAAAACATCTCAGAACCCAAATTTCATTACGGGAAAGAAAACATAGGTTCATATAAAAACAAGCCATGACCAGAGATTCAAGTGAAAAAATAAACGTACTTGATCTCTCTTGAGAGGCAAAGCGGCCTTGCCTTTCTTGGGCTTTGTTGTGGGAGCGATTGAAACAGCAAATTTTTCAACATCGGCCCCTTCCTCATCCTCCTCGTACACCTCAGGTTCTGAGAAGACCGAAGCACCAGATACAATTATTGATTTTGATGAATGGACACTGGCAACCCAGCTCAATGGAGACGGTTTTCTCTCTCTGCGACGAAGGATGATGAGAGGGTTGATGGATAAAATCTTGTTGCGGGAAAAGAAAGGAGGCAGAGTCTGTGTGCACAGATTGAGCTCTTGGGAAAGAAACGAAGAAGTGGAGAGAGTGAAAGCAGAAGGTGCAGCCGAGGAAGCCATTTTCCTAGAGAGGCTTCTGGCTGGGCATTCGATTCAAAGGTTCCGTACTTCCGTTCGCCTATCTTATGTTTTGAGATAGCTGATGTGAATAAAAAGGACATCAGAACATCCTACATTTACACTAAAATTTGTAACTTAAACTTACACTAAAAATATATACCAATATTTTAATGGTTTACACTGACACAAAGTGTTGATGCGTTATCAAAAATTTATACTGATACAAAATGTTAGTGCGTTAACAAAAATTAGCATTACACTAACACAAAATGTTGGTACACACCTTTAGTGTCAAAATATGGTACAAACTCTTCAGGTACAAGTAGTTTTACTCTTCTATCTAGAATAAACTCCCGGTATATGTAAGAAAATTATAAAGCATTTCTGGCAGTGTATGTTAGGGGATTTTTCCCCCGCAGTGCAACACGGAGTTGGCTACTCCGTTTATTTTGGAATTATGTATTTAGACGGAGTTGGCTACTCTGTTTCCGCTAAATTATTTATTGACAGAGTTGCCTACTCCGTTTGACTCCGTTTTTTTTTCTTTTTCCATTTTTTCGGTTTGTTAGTTAATGCAGAAAGAAAGAAAAAGACCCCATCCGTATAAATCCTTTTAACCGTAGGAAAGGCAATTGTTCATTCTTTCACAAGGAGTCTTGCTCTTTTTTTCTTTTCTTTATTTTTTACCATTTTCCATTTTTTACTCCGCGATCCTAAGGGCACTGGAAATACGTTTGAAGCCCCGGGGCTTCAAACTTTCTCTCTCTGCCACGTCAGCTTTAACTTACACCCAAAATTCACTGGAAATGGGTTTTAAGCTCCGGGGCTTCAAACTGGGGCTTCAAACCTTCATTTTTTACATTTTTAAATATACATCTTCTAAAGTTAAATTAATAAAATGTAATTAATTTATTATTTAATTATATTGAAACACGAATAATAAAAAATACATTCATTAAATAAAAAAAGAGACAATAATTAAAAAAAGATACATTAATAAAAAACTAAGGTAAATTATATTTCTCCTTGATCTCTCTTATTCTTTGCTCGTAGATCATTCGTCCCATCTCCGACAACATCCCGGGGTCGGTTTGCATGACTTTCATCTCGGCATCCTGCTCCTTTAGCTTCAACTCCTTCTCCTTTAACTTCAACCTCTCTTGTTCTTGGAGATTGAACGCCCGAAGTTGCTCAACCATTTCCCGGCCGATTTCACCGCGGGAAGAAGCGGAAACAGAGGCGGACCCTCCCGAACCAGAGGCAATGGATTTTGCCTTCTTTCTTCCGATCGGCCGTGGAATGGGGTCCTCGTCATCAGAACCCGCAACGTTGAAGGGAGGGATTTGATCGGTTGACCCGATAGTCTCGTCGACCTCAACCTCGGCGTCGACGGTGGATCTTTTCCGGAACGATCCACCGTCAGGATTGTTGAGTTGTTGCCACTTTGGGGAACGACTCAAAATCCTCCAAAGATCGATGGTCTCTTGCCTTGGTGCCCGTCGTCTTGATACCGGGTCGTGGCATCAATGATTATTCGGGCATCCTAATGCCGCTTCCCGATGAGGCCGAATGGCCTACTCCAGGATACGAGATAGTGAGAACAACTGTACGAGCGAGGACACAAATCGGTCGACCTACAAGAACTCGTTGTCCGAATAACATGGACTACCGACCAGGGCAACATCGCAATGAACAATAGCTTTATGAATTTCAAAAAATAATTAGTTATGACATGTGTTTTGTAACCTTATTTTTATGAATAAATTATATATACTCGATCAATAAATTTTAATATGTCTAACTTTATGTTTTATGAATTTCACAAAATAAATTAGTTATGGCATGTGTTTGGTAATCTTATTTTTATGAATAAATTGTATGTACTTTATGAATAAATTTGTTGTGATTTACTTCTTATTTTAATTTCGTTGTATGCTGCATTATTTAAAGTCAATAAGAAATTATTTTATTTATGCATTTTATTATTAGTAGATTGTTTCATTATATGTAAATAATTTTCTGCTTTTTATAAAAAATTGTTTTAAAATTATAAGAAATAAAGAAAAAAATTGATTTAAAAAAGATATAGGAACAAAGTTGAGAAATAAACAAAAACTTTTGATTTTTTTAAAAAATAATAGGTGGAGATCCCCCCATCTCCACTCATGTTTCCCGTTCTTCCGCATTCAAAAAAAAAGATGGACATAGTTGGCTACTCCGTTTCACTAAATAATCATTCGAAACGGAGTCGGCTACTCCGTTTCACTAAAGAATAAATGGCAAACGGAGTAAGCTACTCTGGTTTTCTTTATTTGGGAAAGTACATTTTTAAATTACATATAATGGAACACATTTCAACCAATTTACACATGCAGGAAAATCACCCATCTATCTATTCTATCTATTTCTCTAACTCTTCTCTATTCTCTTATAATCTTATCTATTTATATTTATTATATAAATATATTATAAAAATATTATAAAAAATTTATAAATGTTACAGTATAATATATTTTAAAATATTAATAGTTTCACATTATAAATTTATAACTCCCTTTGTCCAAACATTATTTTCAGTTTACTATTCACAAGATCAAACTTTATTCACTTTATTGACATATTTTCGCTGTTCATTTGATAAAATAATATAGGAATATCACATCTAATTTTTGAGATATCTTGATGTAGTGTTTAAATATATCATTTTTATTTTCTAACTGTAGTCCATTTTTCATATAAAATAATTTGAAAGTTACTTCATTCAATCATCATATCCCACATTGAGAAGATACTTTTTGGAAAAAATACTTTTCGAAGTCCTTTCACTATTTACAACTTTAGAGTTAATGTTGAAATTGTTTTTACATTTTAGTGCATATTCCATCCGTCACACTTTAAATCACCTGTTTTAGTTTACGATGTTTGTCTTAAGTTATTTTAAAATCATTTTATATAAAAAATGGTATATAATTAAAAAATAAAAATTACATATTTGTAAACCTACATCAAAACATCTATAGAACTAGTAGTGACATGACTAAATTATTTTGTCAAATTATTAACGAAAATAGAAAAAGAAAGTGAACAAGTTTGATAATGTGAATAGTGAACATGCAATTTAATTTCGAACGAGAGAAGTAGAAAATTAGTAATTTTGTTTCCAATCCCTTTAAAATGTGTTATATCGAAAACAATCTTGTTTTTAGTTCCTTTAAACTTAACAAATTAATTCTAAATCGTTTTTACAAGGATGATTTAATTAACAAAATTTGTTAGAGAAACAAAAGGCAAAAACCGCTCAATTCACACGGACCAAAAGCACATTTAACCTTGATAGAATTATACTCCCTTCGTCCCATTTTATAACACCTGTTTCGGTTTACGATGTTTGACTGAAATTATTTTCAAATCATTTTATATGACAAATGGTATATAGTTAAAAAATAAAAATTACATATCAAAATACTACATCAAAAGATCTACAAAACTAGTAGTGACAATAGTATTTTATTTTATCAAATTGCTAATGAAAATTGAGAAAAAAAGTTGATGAAGTTTGACCCTGTGAATAGTGAACATGCATTATAATTTGGAACGGATGGAGTAGTATTCATTCCATTTACTTGAAAGAAACATTTGAGCTTCGATTTCTTCCAAATACATATTTGTGTGTAATAAATCTATTTCTACTTCTGAGCGCTTCTGATGTACACATAGATGTTAGAATTATATGTTTTTCGCTTCTCACTTGTGACTTCTATTTTTTTTCAAGAAGTGATGTAGCCCCAATTCCCCCAAATATCATCTTTCATATAGGGGTGGGTGTGGTCCGTGATACTACCGAAACCTATCACGAACCGCTCTTATATAAAATATTTGGTATCCGTATAATATGAACTCCAAAACCTTTGGTACCACTCCGTTTTGAAATAGAACGGGACAATACCATATTCATGCTCAAACCGTGTCAAAAAATTGTACATGCATCACTCAAAAAATATTAAAATAAAAGCACAATTTTGTACGGAGTATAAAAAGCACAACTTTGCTAAATAGAAGTATTGATTTCAAATTCAGAAGGATCAAAAACATAAAGAATAAATGATAAAGAGTACAAATTTTAAAAATAGATTTGTTTACAATCCGTACAATATCAGACTATTAATAATTCTAAATAATAATACGGCCCGGTTCTAGTGACACCGGAGAACGGTGCCACTCCGGTGTCATTGCATTTTTGGGGCACCTCCGGTGCTCCGTTTGTAAAATTGACGGTTCCTACCCTCCCTTCCCTAACCCATCACCTAAACCCCCACCCGACCCCCACCCCTGCACCCCCACCCCAACCCCGGAGTGGCACCGTTCTCCGGTGTCACTAAAACCAAGCCGTAATATGGATAGTAATAAAATAATATCAGCAATATTAATGAAAAAAATTAAAAAACGAATAATACAATACGAAGTACTCCATATACGATAAAATAAAGTAGACAAATATTTATTTGAGATACTCTGTTTATAGTTTTGAACGGTTCAGTCCGACAATGAGTTTTAAATATTTATATCACGATCTCATTCCGTTTGATATCTGTTCGGTTTCGGTTCATGATTAAAAACATCAATCCTGTTTAAAAACATTATAAACGGTCCAGTACCATCATGGTTCAATATGATACCATCCTAGTTTGGTTTTTTACCCACCCCTACTCTCATATATTCCCTTCAAGATTTATCTCCTTGTTTCTCTTTTTTCGTCTGAATTCAAACTTACTTTCATTTTTCATATGGAGTATAAATGAGTGTTTAGACAAAAATACCCTTCTCATTATTAAAAATTTCCAACAACCCACCTACCACTTTTTTAGTATGGACATTTTAGACAAATTCACTCCATAGTCAACTTCTCTTCAAAACAAGGAAATGTCAAAATGAAAGCATTACATCTGGACGGAGGAGGTAAGAACTGGAGTAACCAGCTTTCAGTACATGCAAATGTTCTAGTAATATGTCGTCTGGTCAAGCCTTGAGTTGTTTAAGTGGATCTGGGGTTATTTCAATGGCCCACTAGTTATGCTATTGAAAAAAATATCTTCAAAATACCCTTCATTTCCCTCTTGTTTTGTCAAAAATGTTAATTGCTAGTAAATGCCATAAGTTGTCAATGATCCCATGAGATAGAGCTTGATGTGCTTGTCTTGCGGCAACACGGTGTGCTTCAAGAACTGAGTCATCACCGAGGAGCACTTTGAGAGCTTCAACAAGGCCATCGCTGGAAACCTATATAATGAGAGTAATAAAGTCATGAAAACCTCATAAACTACTAAGAAAATCCATAAGTATTCAATATCATGCTTGAAGACATAAATCACATAGCATAAATATAATATGAAGATTAATCATGTTGAGAGTAAAAAACTTGGCCAAATAATACTCTCTCTGGCAAACGACTTGGGCTCTGTTTGGGAGAGGAGAGGTAAAGGTCTATGAGGCAGGTAATGACATTTGTCCCTAGGTAGTGAGAACTAGGTACTGTCTTTAAAAATGCGTTGAAAGTAAGGCAGTTATGAGGTAGATAATAGCACAATTTTAATGTATCCTTCAAAATAAAAAATGAAAAACAAATCCAAATTCGGAAAAAGCTACTCCCTTGGACTCATGGTCTTCTTCATCTTACTCTTTGCAAACATTAGCTTTGCTTCCATAGAGCTTGGGCACAGGTTGTTTCCTTCATCCTCACAAGTTGCTTCCACGAACAGTGGCAGGTTACGTGGGCACAACTTTGTGGCAGTTTGGGTGAACAGTGCCACTTCTCATCATGGAGAGAAGTTAATAGTGCAAGGTTTGACACAGTGCCAGGAGCGGAAAACACAGAATGGAAAGCTGCCAATGAACCGTCACCCAGCCGGAACCACCTCTGGAACTCTTGTCGTCGCCCTTACGTCAAACTTCTGATGTCGATGGCGACCCTGTCATCCCTGATTCTGAGCCGTCTTCTACCGAGGAAAATCCTCCGTCCGGCATCCCCACCAAGGAATCCACCCCCACCATCACCCCACAAGTTCATCATTCGTCTCGTCCTCGTCATCCTCCTTCTCATCTGGCTGAATATGTCTTGTCATTTCGCTCATGTCGATACTCCATTGTCGTGTTCCTCTACTTCGTCTTTAGTTTAAGGTACAAGACTTTTCTGAGAGCTGTTAATGCTAATACTGAGAAGAAGAATTTTCGTAAGGCCGTACAGTTTGCCTCGTGGCGTGAGGCCATGGCTCAAGAGTTGCTTGCTATAAAATGTAACCGTACGTCGGACATCACTGATCTTCCTCCACACTGTTGGATTGTTAGTGGGTTTACAGAACTAAGTATCGGTTTGATGGTACCAAAGAGCGTGACAAAGCTCGTTTGGTAGTACTTGGTAATCATCGGGATTTTGGGTACTGATTACACTCACACTTTTGCTGTGGTGGCAAAATTAACCATGGTGCGTATACTTTTTTCTGTTCCAGTTGCCAGGCCATGGGAGGTTCACCAATTGGATGTCCACATTGCATTTTTTACATGGTGATTTTCAGGAGGATGTGTAAATGAAGCATCTCCCAGGGTATATGGCCGCCTAACCTGGAAAGGTTTGTCAGCTACAGAAGTCCTTATATGGTTTGCACAAGTCTCCACACAATTGGTTTGCTAAGTTGCAACATGCTTTACGATGTTTCGGCTTTTGTCAAGCCCATGCGACCACATGTTGTTTGTGTGGTGTCGTGGTCCGGATATTTTGATTGTTTTGGTATATGTTGACGATATTCTTGTGGCAGGTAACAATTCTTTTGTTTTCTTATCCTTCACAAAGTATATCAACAATTGTTTTCACTTGAAGGATATTGGTCCCGTTTCTTATTTTTCACGGATTGAGTGTGCACGGTCTAAGGAAAGCATGGTTTTGAACCAATGAAAGTATGCTTTGGATGTTATCCAGGAGGCTGGAATATCTGGTTGTAGGCCTCTGGACATGCCTATTCAGCCCGGTCACAATCTTTCCATGTCTCGTAGTGCTGAGATAAGAGATCCCACGAAATATTGTCGCTTGATGAGTTGCCTATTGTATCTTACCATTACTCGTCCAAATATCTATTTTTCAGTTCATGTTCTCTCACACTTCATGCGGGCTCCATGGCTTAGGCTCTGTTCTGATCTGATTGAATCTGATCTGATTGGGTCTAATCTGATCTAAATGAAACTGATCTGATTGGATTTGATATGATCTGATTAGATCTGATTTTCTCTAATTAGATCTGGTGTAAATAAATTTAAATTTGATTTAAATTAAACTTAAAATTATTACAAAATTTAATAGTTTGAAAGTATTACAATTCATATATACATAAAAAAAGTAAAATAAGAAAATCAGCTTATCATTAATATGTTTAAACTTTTTTAAAAAATATTAAACATCTTTTTAATATCACAACTTTTTTAATTTTTGTGAAAACTAAATATTTGGTATTAAAATAAACAAATATTAGAAAATATTGATGCTATTCTACAAAATTATCACATTCTATATACATATTACATAATAATATATTTCATGTTACAAATTAAAGATCATATAAAATTTTAAACACTAATATTGCTTTCAACTCTATCAATTTTGTCATAAACTCACCCTTGAGTATATTATACCATCTTAAAGTTTAAAAGTAAGTCGTATAAAATATTTATAGTTTTGAAAACTAAGTTTTGTATAATTATTTTATAAACAAGTATTTTAAAATAACTCTTTTTAAAGTATGAAAAATAGAACTTTTTAAGCTTTAACATTGTTTCCATGCATCATTTTTATCCTACAAGCTAAAAAATTAAGGGGGAAGATGGTGTAGATATGCATATATTCAGGGGAAATTGTATTTGTGCATATCTTAATGGGGAAGATAGTATAGATTTGTATGTCTTTATTTAATTTTTGATGCTATACTTGAGGGGGAACTAGCCTTGTATGATGCATATCTCCTAATGGGTTTGTCATTATCAAAAAGGGGGAAATTGTTGGACAATGTGCTATCATGAATATGTATTTTTGCAATGTCCTTTGCCCATTGTCTTTTAGGTTTTGATAATGACAAAAGGGTGATAAAACATCATCATCATTTTGTGCATCAAGGCTAAGAATCAAAGCTACAAGAAGTTTATATTCGTCCGTGAAGAAGGGACTTGAGCATCGGTGGAAGGAACGAGGCCGAAAAGGTTATTTCCTTAGTTGGGTAGTGTTTTAGGTCTTAGATTATGTGTTAAAGAGTATGACATCTCTAAGGTTCATTCCCTTATCATCCTACCTTTAAAACACATTTTTTTCAGCAAACTATTCGAATAAATTGAAAACTATTCGATTAAATCCCTGAAATTCTCTTCTCACTTAGTTGAATAAATCCAGAACTAGTTGAATAAGTCAGATTGCAGTTTCACCAAAACTAGTCGACTAAGTCTTGATTTAGTCGAATAGTTCGACAGTTTCAACTACCAAACGACTAGTTTTTTGAATGCTTTTCATCCCTATCCACTCCCTAACTTCTATAAACCTCCTACTTTCGTGATTATCTTTATAAGAACACTTAGAACACTTTGAAGAACATATCCTTTGAATATCCAAAGAGATTCTACTCAATCCCCTCCTTATATCCAAGCAAGGCAATTGTTTTGATTGCTAAATCATTTCTTGCTTGAGTTTTTCCTCATTGCTTGAGTCTTTGAGAGATATTGCCATATTCTAAAGGACTTCATTGTATTTGCAACAATCTACTCCGTGTTGGGAGAATTACTCGGTTGCGGTTTGTTTTCTTACTTTATTGTAAGGGATTTGTATTCTTGGTGTTGGGATTACACCAAGTGGTAGAAATCCTAACGGTTTGTGAAATCAAACGTTAGGTGGAAGAAATCCTGAGTTTTGTGAAATCAAAACTTCGGTGGTAAGATAAGAGGCTTGTGAAATCAAGTTCTCGAGTTGTATTCGGATTGTCAAACTCCATTAAGTTTGACGGGTTAGTGAAGGCCTGGGCACGATTGCTTCGGGGACTGGATGTAGGCATTTAGGCCGAACCAGTATATATCGTGTATGCATTGCTCTTATCCTTCACTTTATTTTGTTTGTGGTGCATTGTTTTTATTGAATATTCGTGAAGAACGTTTCCGCGCAAAAAATTGGTCTTTTGGGCAACACCTCTATTCACCCCCCCTCTAGAGGTGTGCGAGGCGTCTAACAAAAAAAAGTAATGAGAAGATCTATAGTGGACAAATAAAAAGAGCTAATGAGAAGATCTATGGAAGACGGAGGGAGTAAGATTTAGGTGTGTGTAGTTTTAAATAAAGTAATGTGATTTAATCAAATAATAGTAATTATTATTTAATCCTTGAATATAAATATGATCTTTTATATTTTTTCTTGATTTGATAATATTGGATTTGATCTGGTCTGATTTGATCTGATTGGATCTGGTCTGATCTAATTGGATCTGATCTGATTGGACTAGATCTGATCTGATTTGATTGAGTCTGATCTGATCTGATTGGATTTGATACGATCTGATTAGGTCTGGTCTAATCTGATCTGATTTCAATAAGAATAAGTAATAAGTAGAAAAAATAAGTCCTACGGAACGGGCCCTTGATCACCTTAATGCCACCCTACGTGTCATGTGGTACTTAAAGGGGCATCCTCGCCATGGTAATTTACTCTGAAGTGACAGTAATTTGGTCCTTACAGGTTATTCGGATTCAGATTGGGCGAGTTGCCCACTTACTCGTCGGTTAGTTACATGTTACTTTATAATGTTAGGGGTTCACCAATCTTGTGGTGCTCTAAAAAGCAAACTATGGTCTCTCGCTTTTCCATAGAAGCAAAATATTGCGCCATGGCAAATGCATGTAATGAAATTCGTTCGATACGTGGTGTGTTGGAAGCCTTCATGGTCCCCTGTGTTGCTACTCCAAGGTTAAATTGTGTCAAATTCGCTTTGTTTATTGCCGCAAATCCAATTTTTCACGAACACTTTAAGCACATTGATATCGATTGTCATATTATTTGTGAATGTGTTCAACGCAAGCATGTCTCTACTACTTATGTTCCTACAAAGCTTTAGGTTGCGGATCTTTTTACAAAGGCGGTATCCGGTCCTTTTTTTCAGTTTTTTACTCTTAAGTTGGGCATTTTGGACATTCATGCACCAGCTTGGGGGGGGGGGGGGAGTATTGGAGTATATTCTTGTATTTATTGTATTTCCTTGTATGAAGAATTTCCTTAGATAGATTTGGTAACCCATGTATTATAAATATGGTTTGTTGTATCAATGAAAGGCAAGCAATTCAGTTCCGATATTCTTCAGGAATGTCCGAGGTTTTAACTCAATTACAAGACAAAAAGAGTGTTGTCATTCCCTTGAGGCAACATAATTCTACTTTTGCAGGTAATTACTAGGGGAGTTATGATAGGCTTCAATTTCCCAAATGAATTTGTGGATTGGATCATGGAGTATATTACTAGGTCCCTATTTCTATCTCTATTAATGGTGGCCTACATGGTATCTTTAATGTGATGAGGGGACTTAGATTTGATGTCCCCCTCCTTTATCGTATGCATGGGGTATCTTTCAACGTTGATAAAAATTAAAAAGTTCGTACAAGGACTTAATATAACTTCCAACTAACATATAACCTTGATTGCTTTGTTAGATGTTTTTCTTGGGATATACCCCTCCTTTTCAGTGGGACTAAATCAAAAGCTCATAATCCTTTTCAATGTACGGTGTATATGATATAGAAGATCCACAATTATATTTTTGAGGGCGCTAGGTACAGTTTGCAGGCCATCTTTGTTAAAATTTAAGATTCAGTTTACAAAGTCCTATATAGACTATATTCCTCCTTGCTTACTTTTTGAAGTTGAGGTCTTGTTTTGGCATTTTGAGCTTTTGGTACTTTAGGGCTGGGCATCTAACATATAACCTTGATTGCTTTGCTAGATGTTTTTGTTGGGATATACCCCTCTTATACATGAAGAGTGCACTTTTGAGTTGCATAAATATATGTGTACAGTTTACCCCAAAAAAAGAAGATTACAAACCTGCCGAACTGAAAAAGGATTCAGATGTTGCATCTGATTTGCCATGTTTGAGAAGTGCCCAATGTATGGACCTGTGCATGAGTGGAAAATAATTAAGCCATTATTCAACACATGGTAAGATGAAATTGTACATAAAGCTATTGATCTAATTAGCACATCTGTAGCTGTAACAACACTTGAAATTGGTAAATAGACTTGAAAGTTGCCTGTCAGAACCGCACATCCTGCTGCTGCTGCTTCTGATATGTTATGACCAGCTGAACCGGGTACAAAAGAACCACCAACTACGGCTATTGGCGTTAGACTATAGAACATTCTGAGTTCACCTGGAGAGCACAAATACAATAACATATATTGTCAATGAAAAAATAGACAGAAGTAGAAGAAAGTCAAAAAAGTAAGAGTAAATTTTATAATTAATCCTTTAAAATATGGACCTTTCCATATTTAGTATTCTATTACCAAGTTTTACATAAGTGATCCTTTGTTCATGGGTACCTTTCCACGTAGTCTTTTTTTGACAGTCTGTCATGTTGGTATTAAATTGAGGGCTAAAAGTATAATTTCACAATGCCCCTACATCCTTCTTGCCATAGAGAATGTCAGAGATTGTTGATGATGTGTCATTTGTCCACCGGAGTCGTCGCCCGTGCAACCATAGCCCACAGTTGTCGTCCCTCGTCAGAAATCCAAGTCCGCGGCTAGGGTCATTAATGTTGTGTTGTCCGTCAAGCCGACACAAGTATATATGGTTGGATGTCGGTGTAAAATTGTACTATTTGTCCTCAATTTAAGACCAAGATGGCGAAAGGCTACAAAAAATATTTATGGAGAAGTATCCATAAACGAAGGACCACAAACGTAATACTTTGTAATAGAGGACTAAATATGAAAAACCCCCAATTCTAAAAGGACTAACTATAGAATTTACAAAGAAAGTAATATCTCCTTGTTTTTATTGTGTGCCAAATCTTAAATTTAAAAACCAAAATCACCAGTTCATCCTTCTAAAAATATATAGCAAAAATAACAAAACCAATAATACTCTCAACTCGATTGAGATTTTTTTGGATTTTAACATGCGACCGAGCGAAAAACAAGTAGCCTTTTGACTAATGCCCCAAGAAGATAACAAGAACAAATATTGATCTCTCCAAATGCCTACGTATTACGTAATACTCCCTCCATCCGATATCCTTCTTCTTAATAGAGTTTTCTTAGTTAACGTTAATAAACATTGCCGGTGATCAATACGGCATATGCAAAATAAATACATTGAGTTACGATATAACTTTAATATCAATAGATTCATTTTGAAACATAGCTTTGAAAAATCATATTTCTGTAATACATGTCTATATATAAATAGAGACATTAATGGTCAAAGTGCTACATTGGAGACCATCAAAAGTCAATTAGGAAGCAAAGTACCCGACAAAGGGAGTACAAAAGGTATGTCAGAACCAAACACAGAAAATGAAACCTATTTTTCATTGAAAGTATAAAGGAGGACCGGACAGATACATAATCTTAAGCAGCCAAAATTTCCAAAAGAATGCCTTCTATGAGCATCTACAACCAAGCTTGTTATATGGATTTGTTATTTTTACATTATAGCAAGTGAATTGTGATATAGCAAGCACTTTTTTGTTCATTCTCCAACCATAATTTGCTATTTTATTTTTCAAGTATTCGCTTGCTAAAGTTTGAGGGGCTTGTTATATTTAGCAAGTCAAAGTCATTTTTAGGCAAACTTACTAAAATAAAGCATACCCTTTGGAGAAGAACAAAAGGGTTTAGCTAGCTATATTATAACTTTTAGCAAGCTAAAATGCTATGGTTGGAGATGCTCTAGGGTAGGCAAGTCCATGGTACTTAAGATTGCATAACAAAAGCTAGTAGACCTAAATCTTCAGTAACTACACTTACAAACCTAAAGTGTCGACCACATAGATGTTTGTTTCTGTCATTATGCTATCGTTACGGGACCGTACAGCCACAGTCAAGTGTTCTTTCTGCAACCCCTGCATAATATGAAGAAAGAAATAAAACAAATCATGTTCTTTCATGTCAATAAAAAGAGAGCCCAATCAAGAGATGCCAAAGCATATACAGTTTAAGTAAGCAAAAATCAAATAAATATATAAATAACAGGTTCTATAAGTAAACCCTTATGAATAAAATCCAAAACAATTAAATAAATCAATTGATGAAATGATCAGACTGCTAAATTATGAAAGAAGAATCATGACCACTTTCATGCACACTGGCATGTAAGTTTATATAATATATAAATATTACAATGATTCTCTTTCAAAAACCAACTCGACATCCATTGCATGAAAACCATTAATCGTACCAAAGATATTTCTTGCCCATATTGGGGGTGCCGAGGCACGATGATAGTAAGTATGTCAGGATATATTTTCTGAAGCTCTTTGTGGACTTCTATCATGACTACAGATCAAAAATGCTGGAAACATGAGTTATCAAAAATAGTTATTTACTATGAAGAAGCTGCATAAGATTAGAAAAAGATATAATCTCACAACCTCAAGCTAGTAACCTCCTTGTCCATCAAACCGATCCCTTTAGTAAAAAAGCTAGAAAGTGGACTACGAATTTGTAATTTTGTCACAAATGAAAATGAGAAAGAAATGGTTGCCTAAATGGTATACTTTGCTATGTTACGAGAGAATACCTATCTCGGATGAAATCTTACCAATGCCTACTGGCTACTGCTCACATTAAATGTTTTGGAGTGGGGTGGAGGAGAATAAAAATAGGAGAATTGTAAAGCATTGAGGCTTTGCCTCCCACAAAATTAGTTCATGACATGAGTGGCGGTAAAGAACTAAGTGATTCCACATCCTACATGTATAGTCCTCAATAATACCTTTGTCTTCACCTCTGTGAATGGAAGCAGCAAGCCACATTTTTCGCTCAGCAAGCTGTACCTTCAAAGCATCCAAAACTCTATGATCCCTTTCAACAGTGTCAAAGTTATCTACAGCTGAAGCAAACAGAACAAATTATTCCCTCCATGGGAAAATGATGCATCATCTTTTAGCGGTTTTCATTGAAAACATATAGCAGTAAGTGAGCTATTTTCAAAAACTTGTGAAGGTATCCCCCAAACAAGGCACTAACAATAAAATCATCGCTAAAACATAAAAAGCAGTACATGTGAATTATGAAGAGTAAAATATTTGTCGTGTTTAAGTTAAGAAAGTGTACGTTAGCTTTGGAGTGGACTACGAACGGAAGTAGTGTTGGATATTTTTGACTTACAAACTCAAAACTCTACTACTTTTATAGACTACTACAATACTTATATAGCAAAAACAATAGGCCTAAAAGATCCTAAACTCTAGGAATAGTAAACCCTAAAGTTTTGAAAATTAGGAGCAACTACGTTTCATTTAGCTCTCAATAAAACTAAAGCATGCGAAAATATGTTCCAAGCTCGAAGGAAAACTGAAACACAGTGCTAGCACTGGAGAAGCTTGAATACTTGAGCTTGAACTTGGGGCCCACGCAAGAACATTTAACTTGAAAACTTTCTTGTATTGGACTGAACTCTGCATTACTTTTACTAAACTCTACATAGACTTGATTCCACTAAAGATCCATGATGCTCGCTACTCACAATCAATGTCCCAGCAGGTTTTGTACCAGGAGGAAATGCAGTTGTTGAAGAAAAAGAATCCTTTAATTGTAGACACTCCTCACATTTAAACTCGAAACAATGTGAGTACTTAATTCTTCAATGTGGTTTTGAATGACATTAGTTATAGCACCTTTCCCATGCAAACTCCAACATTCATGTGTATGCCTAATTTCTTGACAGAAATCATAATTGAATACAGTCAAAACTCCTCCATGCATGTCTTGACACTGTTCTTGTGTCTGTATGATCTTCAAAATGGCAAGGTAAAAATGCATCTCAAGGCGCGCCTCATAGACTTACGGGAAAATGCCTCAAGGTCAGTTAGTCCTATGTCTTGATCTCTTCAAAGAAATTGCAGATTGAAATTTAGCATGAGGCTTACGCCATGAGGCGTATGCCATTTTAAAGCAATTGTTTTAGATTAAGGTTGAATAGTCAATTCAATTAGCAAAATTGAAATACTTATACTTGACAATCCTACTGCTACACACGCCATCATCGGTCGGTCATCATTGCCTTTGCTCATCTTCTTCATCATTTTTCTGCTCTATCATGACCAGCTCCTCCATCACCACCACTAATGCGTGAGTGTGTGAGTGCCTTATCTTCTGCATTATTTTTTTAGATTTAATCGGGTTTGTTCACATATTACATATAACCGAATGGGTAATGGGTCAATGTTCGAGTCGGTTAGTATGGTGTCGTTTAGTGTGTTTTACATATTTAATTAATTTAAAAAAAGCAGTTGGGTAGTTTCTAAAATGCAATTATGGGTAGTTTCTAATGTTTAATATGTGTGTTGGTTTGTAATAGTTGTGCTGGTTAGTAAGAGTTGTGTTGGTTTGTTCTCTATTTATATTAGAGAACACAATGAATCCTGTAATGGTACACATCAATAAAATATTCTACTTTGCTTTGATCTAATGGAGCGAAAATCCAAAAAGGACCCAGCGATCCTAGACAGCAGATCAAGAATCTTCGACAATATTCTTCCTCGCCTAGGACAAAAATAGCAGGTTGGCTAGTTTTTTCCTTTGGCAGAAGGATTCCAACCAAACAACGCAGGAAAAATGAATCAGCAGGGTAGCTTTCGTTTATGTCTTGGAAGACAGAAAAGCAGGGGCTTGTTTTCTGGTTGGTGGTCGATTGCAGGTGGCTTACGACCCGGGAAGGAATCGAAGTTAAGAGTTTTGTGTAAATTGTCGAAGGAGATATGCAAGGTAAACTACTATCCACTAAAAGTGATGGAGAAGAGAAGGTTAAGGAGCTCAAAACTCAGCATTGTGGTTGTGGGAGCTCAAACCAAGAAGACTTTGGACGTGTCCAAGGTAGAGGTCAGGGGTCCGGGAAAAGTCAGAATGGTGGACAGTTACTGAAAATTAATGAAAATTTCACATTCAGGTCACCAAATGAACCAGAATATGACTGGAGATTTTCATCAGAAACATTCAGCTGAGGAGTCTGTTGTAGTCATTTTTGTCAGAAAAAGGTCAGAGATGCTTCAAATATGAATGTTGCAGCTTGTGTGTGATGTTCACAAAAATGAAAAGGAGGGGATTTGGTTCTAGTTGGGTCAATGAGGTTTCAACAATTTGGTGTATCAAGGAACCAACTCAACCAAAAGCTCAAACGTGTGGTTGTAGGTCAAGGAAAAGTTTGATACTCTAACATACCCTCTCACGTGCAGGCGAGATTTGTCGTTTGCAATGCTTTCCTCATGAACATTAATTTTTTTAAACTGGATGACGGTGATATTCAAACTCATGACCTCTAGGTCAACATGGCTATGGTACATGAACCAATCCAACCAAAAGCTCAAGCCTGTGGTTGTAGGCTCAAGAAAGGTTTTATACTCTACCACATTGCAATATAACAATACCATAAGACATGCTACATGTCCTCTGTTAGCTCAATGCAAACCCCACAAGTAGCATTAGTCGTCATATGCCTCTGAAAGTATTCAGAATATGGATCGCAAGTAAATTAGTAGTTTACTGTTCAACATGGTATTTGACCCTAATTCTAAAGCCTTCACTGAATAACCCAACAATCTCCCACTTGAAGGCTTTCACATAGTCACAAATGCCATCCAAGTAAACCCATCAAGAGTAACTCAGTAATTTTCACTGTCAAGTCCTCCAAGCCCCCAGTTCCCAAGAACAAGCTAAGACTCCAGTCATATCCCCTAGTTGCAACCACCCCCTTCATTAATAACCAAAAATTACTGTTGAAGCTCCACAGAGCCTCTGTCTCAACCGGCTTGCACAATTCACCGGATGTAAAGATACACCGAGGACCATTACCACTCTCCAAATTCAGCAAACTATTCCCAAGAGAGATCTTAACATTCAGATTCATAGTCTTCAAAACCCAACGGTATTTCAGAACTGTACTCAGAACACGTCCCATGCTCCCACTGTCACGAAACCCCTGACCTGATTCAGACCTCCAAACATACTCAGTTGTCATCCCCGAAACTCCAAGGTTCACGTTTGCAAAATGAACCTTCTTAGCTTTGCCCGATTCAGTGAGCCCGACTTTGTAAATTGTCTTTACCGGGTTGGTCACTCCCTCAGACCAGTACCATGTATAACGGTCCTTTTTTCAAGCCTCGAGCAATAACCAAATTTCCTTTGATCACCTTCCATTTTCCACCACCAAACTTGACGTCTATTCCCTGTTCATTCAATTGTCCGACTGAGATCAACTTTGTCTTCAGTCTTGGAATCACCTTCCAAATGAAATTTTTGGATCAATATCTCCCATGCCTGTCACTTTAAGGATTTTCCCGTTACCCAACTCTACCTTTCCAAAGTCTCCCTTTTTGAAATTCACCATCGCCTCACCGTTGTGCATGGCATGAAACGAAGCACCAGAATCCATGACCCAAGAGTCAACATAGCTTTCCATTTTGAGTATCAATGCATCACTATCATCATCAGATGCATTCCCAACAACTGCGCTAATTTCGTTTTTCTTGTTTGGGCATTGACTCTGGAGTCTGGACATGCCCAACTTCTTTGCAGACCCAGCACACCACATTCTTTCCAGCCTTAGACGAGCTCTTCCCACGACTCCCACTGTTTCTGTTATTACCTCTTCCCCTACTAACACTGAGTAACCCAGAAGTAGATCCTCCACTAGCGTTCCTCCGGAGAATGTCTTCACCCAAAACACTATCCTGTTCCGGCAGTTTCAATAACCGCTGTCACAAATTCCGACCAACTATCAGGCAAGGAAGATAACAGAATCATAGCCTGAGTGTTATCATTGAACTTCATGCCTACTGATGATAACCTGGACAAGATCGAATTGACCTCATTAATGTGATCAGCAACTATGCTGCCCTCGTTCATTCTCATCATGAACAATTCCCTCATCAAGAACACTCAATTACCTGCTGACGGTTTCTCATACATATTTGACAGAGCTGTTAACATACCACAAGCAGTTGTTTCCTTCATGATGTTAAACACCACACTCCTCGTCAAAGCCAGTGTAATTTTACCTCTTGCCTTTTTATCCTTTCCCAAATTGCTTCAGCAGCCTTATCCATTCCATCCGGTTTCTCTTCCAGTACCATGTCCAAATCGCACTCACCAAGCAACTCCTCTATATGCATTTTCCACCATGCAAAATCAGTACCATTGAACTTCTCGATTCGAACCCTCCCGTCCTCAGCCATTGCAAAACGAGAAAAAAAACCAGACAAAAAAAATCAAGGAATAACGGCCCAAAACCCAGCAACCTCCAAAAGAAAACAAACCCTAAAACAAAGAACCCGAACCAACAAGTACCAGGTCCAAAACCAGAAGCCCTTATCGCCAAGTTCACCCAAAACCGACCGAACAGTCCCTAACCAGATCCGAACCAGCCTGTGATCAGATCCGAACCAGCCCCTGCAGCGGCTTAATCAAATCAGAAAACCGGACAACCTGCTGTCCCTGTTTGCGGCTGTTCCAAAAGGTTTCACTAACCTTAACCGCGGCAGTAAAACAGCAGCAAAAATGATCCTAAACAGTTTCTTCCTGCGATTGATCCTGTGTAACCGTGTGTTTAACCGAACCAAGGATCCGATACCACTTGTTAGGAATCAGAGATCAGAGGTGGTCAAGCGGAAGTGAACAAACAAACACACACACAAATAGCAGAAAATAAGAACACGAGATTTAACGTGGTTCGGTCAGTAACCTACTCCACGGATCGCAACTAGGGTTTATCTTTTATTAGGTGCTCACAAATTATAGTTACATGATTGGGTATTTATAAGATATAAACTAGGGTTTACAAAAGAGAGATATGGGGATCAAGGCTTAAGTAACCCTCCCCGGCGTGGTGGAGGGGGTAATCAATCATAATTAAAGTCACAACTTGAAATCATACATACATACATACATACATATATATATACATATATGTGTGTGTGTGTGTGTGTGTGTGTGTGTATGTATGTATATATATATGGTTCATAGGTTAAAATTTTGGGCATACCATACTTAAGGTCACCACAAAAACTAATGACAAACGGTGAAGCCTGCAGTAGCTGAAAATTGATTCCTTGTGTTGTGCTCTATGGAAGCAATAAAAAATGAAGTGTTAGCAACAGCAAGACAGGAAAATCTAATTTCACTATGGATGATGTTTGTATACAAATACTTGCCAATGGGACAATCAGCACAAACTTTGACATTAACAACGATATTAGGGGATGAATGCCAGGAAGAGACCACTTTTGATAAGACTTTCTGGACATCCGAGCATTAAGTAATGCCAATGCAATCTGAGAAGGACAAATTGATGACTGTAAATACAATGAAGAAAATCTACTCCCCCTAGCCTGAATTAAGTCCTCATTTCTTTTTTGGGATGTCCCAAATAAATACTCTTTCCATTTTTTGAAAATTTTGTATGGCTAATATTTTCTCTCTGCATCAATTTCACATTTCTTAAACTCCCTGCTGAACAAAATGTGGACTATTAATTTGGGATGGAGGGGGTACTATTTATATAAATGAACACACAATCTGCAATGCAAGGGCCAATATCATATGAGCACATACAATTGTATAATAGTGAGTATAGCACACAAAATAAATCAATAAAATAGGAGAAAACAAACAAACAAAACAGCATACATAAACATCACAAGGTTCAACTTGGATATGAGTTCTAAATGTTTTAAAGCAATGAGAAGTGGATGCTGGAACTGTACACATTGAGTCAGTCATGCATAATTATATATGAAATAAGAAATGCTCACCCCATTTTTTGCAGCACACATAACAAGATTTGGCCAAAGTTCACTTTCCATCAATATGATTGCAGTTGGACTCCAGTAACAGAGAAATGCCTCAATGACATGAGGAATGTCAAGTGGAGAAAACTGATTTACGTGAAACACATTAACATGTCAGAGAAAATTCAATTTCACTACTTGCTCATAGAAGCCAGTCCGGGAGCATGATAAGTAAAAGACTCAAAGTTATTTTGGACAGAAAAGTTTTGCACCATTCTATTCCAAAGACATACTTATGCATCAGACACTGAAAAAAAGAGATTAATACGGCATTACCTTGGATCTAAATAGAACCATACTTTTCTTTAGTGAATTAAGATGCAATTATTATATAGAGTTCGAACAACGAAAAGAGTTCCACAGAGCACTATCCTGAAAGCAAATAGAAATGCTTATATCAATACCTGATATATAACATCACTTGGAAGCAGGTTCTTTATTACTTCACTGCAAGAGCATAAAGAAATAAAAATAATACAGAGTATAACTATTTTATTTTGCATGCACAGTAGATATATATAGGTATTTTCGCAAATAGCGTTAATTACTTTATGATTGCAATGATCAACTAAAGAATAGTTAAATTTTCAAATGACAAACCAAACATCATGGAAGTCATTTAAGACAATAACAATGCAAATTTACTATTATCACAATTGGTAGCAAGTGACACTAGTTGTCTGAATTTACTTTACTCAAAGTGAAAATGAAGATCTGAAAAAGTGTTCTCTCCAAATGTTCATTCCACCTAAGACGAGTTTCCAACTTTAGCTCACATATCTTGATTCCTTATTATATCCATACGTGTATGACCGCTCATCCAACGAAGCATCTTCATTTCTGCCACACTAACCTTGTGTTCATGTTCACCCTTTGCTGCCCCAACACTTCCCATACAATATAGATGGTCTAATAGTAGTATGGTAATACATTTTTTGTCACATATAAAGCCCGAAGCACTCCGCGATTTGACCAACCTACTTGAATCATGTGATTAACATCATCCTCTATTTCTCCATTGTCTTGAATGATACACCCAAGATATTTAAATGTATTTACTTGTTGTATAGTATTTTCTCCAACTTTCACCTCAATGTTACTGTCTCTCTTTCTGTTGCCAAACTTGCACTCCATACACTCTGTTTTAGTGCGACTTATATGCAAGCCATGCAAGTATGCAACTCTAAAGCCTGACTCCACAAATCAAACTTCTCATTCAAATCCTCTCGTGATTCGCTCATAAGGATGATGTCATGGGCAAAAACCATGCACCATGGAATCGATTCTTGGATATGCTCGGTAAGAACGTCCAATACTAGTGTAAAAAGAGCTTAAAGATGACCCATGGTGTAATCCTACCTCGATGGAGAATTCCCCTGTCATCCTAGTTTGACTTCTCATGCTCGTTGTAGCCCCCTCGTGCATGTCCTTAATTACACAAATATGAGCAATCCTTACTCCTTTTTTCTCTAGCACCTTCCACAAAACATCTCTTGGTACCCTGTCATATGCCGTTTCCAAATCAATAAAATATGTAGATCTTTCTTTTCACTTCGGTACCTCTTCATCATTCTTCTCACCAAGTATATAGCCTTTGTAGTCGATCTTCCTCGCACAAAACAAAATTGGTTCTCTAACACCGATCTCTTGTCTCATCCTCCGTTCAACCAACTTTTCCCATAACTTCATCGTATGACTCATACATTTGATCCCTCTGTAGTTTCCACAACTTTGAATATCTCCCTAATTCTCGTAAATAGAAACCAAAATGCTCTTCCTCCATTCGTTAGGCATCTTCTTAGATCTTAAAATCCCGTTAAAAAGCTTAGTTAGCCACCAAATGCCTTTTCCTCCTAAAGCTTTCCAAACTTTAATTGGAATGTTGTCTGGGCTGCTCTGCTATTCTTCATTTGTTTTAGGGCTTCCTTTACTTCAGTTTCTCGAATTCTTCGATAATAATTGAAGTTGTGGTCCTCTTCCCTCTGTAGCCGATCGGAGCATGCGAGATTCACGTGCTCCTCATTAAACAGATCATTGAAGTAGCTCTTCCACCGGTCGTTTATGCTTTCAACGAAAACCAAAACTTCGCCATTCTTATCTTTAAAGCACTTAACTTCGTCCAAATCTCGCATCCTTCTTTCTCGACCCTTTGCGATCTTGTAAATACATCTTTCCCCTTCTTTCGTACCCAAACACTGCTAAAACCCTTCATATGCTCTCATTGTTGCTTCAATTACAACCATTTTTTGTCTCTGTCTTAGCTGTCTTATACCTTTCCCAACTTTCCACATTCCGATATAAAGACCACTCCTTAAAACGTTCCCTCTTTACCTTTACCTTCTCTTACACACTAGTGTCCCACCACCATAATTCTTTCTCTAACATTAGTACCTTTAGTTTCTCCAAAGGTTTCTTTTGCCACCTTTATAATAATATCTGCCATATCAGACCATAACTCTTCCGCAGTTCCATGTCTATCCCATTTTGCTTCTTCTACTAAACGACTTTGGAAATCCATTTGTTTATCACCCTTCAACTGCCACCATCTAGTCCTTAGGTTCCCCTCTTGGCGACTTCTCTTTACCTTTTGTTGGATACAAAAGTCCATAACTAGCACTCTATGTTGGGCAATCAAACTCTCTTATAGATGCCCAATCATGTAACTCTAGTCAGCACCTAATAAAAGGTAAACCCTAGTTGCAACCCGTGGAGTAGGTTACTAACCAAACCACGTTAAATCTCGTGTTCATAGTTTCTGCTATTTGTGTGTGTGTGTGTTCACTTGACCACCTCTAATCTCTGATTCCTAACAGTATTTCGGTACTCTGAAAGGATGGCGTTCGGGTCATTGTTCTTTTTACCAATCCTCAGCTGGTTGTGCTAGATGTTTGGGAAGATAGTGTCAAGTGGAATCTCTGAAAGGATTGCTGTCGGTGACTTTAATTCAGTGACCAGTGCAGAGGAGGTAAGTAATCTTGAGACAGTGTTTCATGAATGGATTTTATGAATGGATGTTTGAACAGTGTTTGGTTGACCAAGTGTTGGCAGTAATTTCACTTGGATGAGAGGTATAAGCAAAGATTCTTTTAAAGGGGCGAGGCTGGATTACTAATTTTTTGGATGTGTTCCCCCTTGATATATCTGGGCTCAGCCTCATCATGGTTCCCCCTATACCCTACACTCCGGGGGGAAGCCGAGGACCTATGTTTAGGCTATATGATCCATTTTGAAGGCCCTTAAACCCGTGATCCTCCTCAATCCCTACAATCTAGAAACAACACCAAACCTTAACCATTCTCCCCCTTCTCCTTTTCATCTTGGCAGAACCCATCTTCCCCAAAACCCTACCTCATTCACCCCTCAAGACTATGTTAAAACACACCCAACAAAACCCCCCTTCATAACCCTTATGTTGGCCAAACACAAGAAGCCAAAACCATCCCATTTACCCTTTAAAACATCCACCCAACAAGGCCCCCACTATGTCCCCTATACCAGCCACAAAACATCCATTACTTAATAAAACAAACATGGCACAACTTTAACAATTTAACCAC